AAACTACCACCGCTTTCTACTCAGATCATCTGCTCCAGCCGAAGCCTCCTGCATCCCTGGCCCACTCGCGACTTACGAATAGTTTCTTACCCTCCGAGCAGGTTCACTGCTCTCGCGACTCCACTCTGGACGGCCAATGAAGGCAAGCCAGAGGTGGGAGACCTGTTCCTTGTCATCTTTCACTCCAGCCAGCCAATTAAGGCAAGCCGGAGAAGAAGGAACGGTGACTTCTCCCTGGAGCACTCGGGATGATGGTAGCCCGCGGGATCGCTAATGCCCGTCACCTCGCCTCAAGGTGCCCTGCGGGCTTATTATTATTATTATTTATTTACATATATTTATTTAAAATTCTCCATAAATTATATTAAATACTACTTACAAAACAAAAAAATAATATTTAAAAATATAAAAAATAGGACCCGACCAGTAGCGGGAGCATGGTCCAAGCTACCGGTGGTTAGGGCTCCAGAGACAGAAACCTCCTCACGATACGTGCCGTTTCAGGAGAACTGCCTTCTGTATCAGGCCCTTGATCCATCCACCTAACGCCAGCCTCCTAGATGGATGTCGAGGCTTTAGGGATTAACCCATTGGCCGACACGACTATCGGCACAATGATAGCCGAATCCACACTCCACATGTCGACAACCTCGTGAGCTAAGTCAGATATTTATTTGTTTATCTTTCTCAGCTTTCACGAGGTTCTCGTCATGGGAATGGTGACATCGATTATCATCGTGCGGCGTACTTGACGGTCTATCACTACTATGTCAGGTTTTTGGCTACAATAGTCCTGTCAGTAATGATAGACCGGTCCCAGTACAATGTGATATGGTCATTTTCCAGAACTGGGTCGGGCACATACTTGTAGTACGGTACCTCAGATTCAACAAGTCGATAGTGCAAAGCAAGTTGCTGATGGATAATCTTGGCTACTTGATTATGCCTATGCAAATATTCACTGTTAGCCAAACGACCACAACCAGAAATAATATGTCTAATGGATTCACCAGGACTATGACATGCCCGACATATGTCAACCGTCCCATCCTTAATTATATATTTCCGGTAGTTATTCGTAAGGATAACTTCGTCCATAATTGCACAGACAAATCCTTCAGTTTCTCCAAAGAGATTACTGAATCGTAGCCAAGATACGGACGCTAGAAAATCTACACTGGGCCCATGAAGGGCCCGGAAGAAGCGTCCGTGGAGCTCCTTGCTATGCCATACCTCCTTGCGATCATTGACGCTCAGTACCACAGGTTTGCGCCAGTTCTCTTTTGCCAAGGATAGCGGAGTGAATCCATTGTCCACCGCTGCTACTTCTCGATGCATACCCTCGTTGACTTTCAGGAAATATTCCTGAGGCTGCACACCTCACGGTTGTGAAGGGTCTTAGCATTTAATAAGCCTCGACCACCACACTTCCGCGGGATGTACAACCTCATGACCGACGAACGAGGGTGATGCATGCGATTTGCAGTCAGCAGGGTCCGGACTCGTCTATCCAGGGTGTCAAGTTCAGTCTGTGTCCACTTGAGTATACCAAAAGAATACATTAGGACTGGCATGACCCAACCGTTAAAGGCTCGCACCTTGTTTCCGCCTGATAAGGAACTTTTGAGTACCTTATTCAGGCGGCCGAAAGAAGCGCTCCTGTAACGATTGCTTCATGTCCGGTCCATTAATGCCTAATCCTTCTGATATACCCAGTATTGTATGTATCGTTTGCGGAGAGTGATCTCAGTTTTGTGAAATCTGAGAGTTCTAGTCCCTCAGATTCCACAATCCCTCCTCGCTTTACATGCATGACCGCACACTTGTCTACTCCAAACTCCATTCTGATGGAACTACTAAATTTTTCAGTTATATTCAGTAGTTCCGTCAGTTGTTTCTTGTTTGGAGCAAACAATTGAGGTCATCCATGTAAAGTAAGTGGGATATAACTAAACCCCTTCTCCGCAAAGGATAGCCTAGCCCTGAATCCTCCAGTAGAGTACTTAGAGGATTCAAGGCCAAGCAGAACCATAGTGGGCTCAGGCTGTCACCCTGGAATATTCCTCGTACTATCCTTACAGGTTCTTCATTCCCTTGGATTTGTCTACATCCCGGATAGCAAAGCACGGTGCTCCACTGCCTCATACATGACTCCAAGAAGGCGCGTAAACTTGCATGTATTTTATACAACTCCAGCACCTTCAGGAGCCATGTATGTGGCACAGAATCATATGCTTTTTTTAGTCTATCCAGCATGTAGACAAATCTTTTCGGGACCGACGAACCTGTTGGCTAACAACCATATCAATGAGGAGTAGCTCCTTAGTTCCACGAGACCCCTCCCTACATCCATTTTGAGACACAGACATGATGGAATTTTGTTCAATATGTTTTGTTATTTTTGTCCTCAAAATGGATGTAAGAAGTTTATAGACCGTTGGTAAACATGTGATTGGTCTATAATTTTTAGGCTCAGTGGAACTACCTGATTTATGGAGCAGGTGGGTAACTCCTGTTGTTAGAAATTGTGGTAACGACCCAATTTCCAAAGCTGCCTGGAAGTGTAATGCTAAGCGAACGTGTGAACTCTTGAACCATTTAATCCAGAAATTGTGCAGTCCGTCCGGCCCCGGTGATTTCCAATTCGGAACCGAACAGGCTGCACTGGCTACATCAGAGGAGGTGATTTCTACCTCCTCCATCTCTGGTATAGTCTCACACCTTCGCTTAACATCACACATCCAGTCACCTTCTGTGTGGCTAACAGGTACCGACCAGATGTTGCGCCAAAATGTGTTAGTGGCATCATCATCCGGTCGCCGCCCGTCAGCCACATCTTGGTTGGATCGTTCCCAATCTCTGTATACCCACCTCTGATCTCTTTGGAACATGCGATTCTGAGTATATTATTATTATTATGTATGTCTTTACCATTCACGGGACCACAGGGTCCCGGTCATTTGGGAGGCGTACGAGGGGCCGAAGCCAACTGCGCAGAGGCCCTTTAGACAACTTTAATATAAATGTAATGGACACACAAACCGGCGACTATCCCTGTATGCACTATGGAAATGCACCCAAGGACAGTCCCCGGTTAGTGTAGGACTATTGTGAATAATGGAAAAAAAAGGTAGGGCTATGGATGGGTTGTTGTGGACTGGTAAATTGGGAACTATGGATGACTATGACACCTATTATTATTATTATTATTACAGTGGTATAATGTGCACCTATAAGTTATGTTATGTTATGTAAATCTTAGACACAATGTAGGTATGTGTAAATAGGCTGATGGTCGACATTAACTTGACCCGCTAATATAAATTCGACCAAGATGAAATTTGAAAAAAAGGTAGATTATGGTCTTTTTTTTAAGGGGGGAAAATCATCGAATGACTGCTCCCGCCTGGGTGAAGCGGAAGGGAGTGTCAGACTCTTACTGACTAAAAACCACCCCGTTTCTTCTCCTGCACGTCGAGCCGGAGCCCCGGTTACCCGTTAGGTTCTCCGCGACTAGATTATGGTCTAGAGTCTAATACATAGGCTACCTTTTATCCCCGGGATCGCGGGCGAAGCCGCTGGCAGAATCTAGTACATAATCTGTGGTTTCATTACTACCTAGTTAACACTAAGTACTTATTTTATTAAACTGAAACAATGCAACATCGCACTAATCTTAAACCCTTTTTATAAATTGCATATTTCAGCATATCCTAGCAACTGAATTTAATCTAGTCCATAATTTTGCAGTCTATCAATTTGATCTAATGGAATTAGAAATTCTTGTGGGTTAGGTTATTCCTGACTTCATACATACGAGATAAAAATACGTGACTTGCTATAACAAACTGTTGGCAAAGGCGTTGCACTTTCATGCTCTGCAATCTCTTGCGTTAAATATTGATAAACCTAGGTATAACAGTGAAGATGAAGAATATCTGGAGGAAAAATAAAAAGAATAATGCGCTTTTACACCAACCACTCCTAAATTTTAAGAAGCTCTTAAACTAAGATAGACTGCATTTTATGACATTCTGGTTATCCTATATCCATAACTGAACTCTAACAGTATAAGTAAGTGAAGCTTAGGTGCTACTTTACGCCGCTAGTAAAAATTTAAATAATGGTTTAAGGTTTAGAAGTGGTTGGTACAAACAATCACAGATCTTCTTATGTGATATCATTTTTAATGCTATTAACACAGCCATCCATCAAGGTCAACCGTGGATCGTGATCAATTCTAGAAACTTATAGCAAAAGGGAAATAATAATGGTTCCGAAATACAAATTAATCTCCAGCGATCTGTAGCCGACTATAAAAATGGATCTTCGAATAACAAACTAAACTTCGGAATAGAATACTGAACCTACAACTACGACTACTGGGGTTTTAGGTTAGGTTAGACAAAGCATAGTTTTAAGTAGAGCGTAATTTATGCAGGTAGAAAAGTATTATAACAATAAACAGTCATATTTATTTCTCACAGACTTCAGTATCTCATTCGGTCGTTCCGTCGGACAAAAGTAGTCGGAAAGTTAGTATTTCAGGCAGTTGATTTAATATTTTGAGTAAGGACAATTATTCTTTTTTGTCAAATAAAATAATAATGCCATAAAAAAAATTGTCGGAGCTTTTATTACTACCCATAGCAAAATCAGTATAAGGAACGTTTTGTGAAAAGTTGGTATTTGTCTAACCCTGTAGCATTGAAGGATACGAAAAGTATTTTTCTGAAGATATTTAAATAAAAACTAACTTTTTTCTCAATCATTTTGAGTTAATAGAAGCATTAAAATGTTTTTTAGTTTACTCCGCTGGATTTTGTAAGCCTGGGCTATGTGAAATTTGTGTACATAACATAATATCACGCCTTTTATCCCCCAAGATGTACGCAGAGGTGCACATTACGGGACTTAATGCCACGGTACAATATAACACCCACTTTTCACTATTTATGCAATAAGTAAGTCTATTTGTAAACAAATTATGTATAACTTACCTCCGTCTGACCGTAGTACATTTTCTAGAGCAGGAGCTCCACGAGCTCCACTGCGAGAATCCTCGGAACCTCTTCTGCACGTCCTCGGCCTTCAGCTGTCGTACTTGCTGCCAATACATTATCGAACGTTCAACTCTAAACATTATCTTATCTATCACCACATTCACCACCCACTACGACTACTACAGTCAGTAATACTTTATCATCTAGATTCGTTATTCATCGCCAACCACTTCAAACGGACTAATGTTTATTATATGTATCTGCCGTTATATAAACAAACATGATATAGGTATGCCCAATAAACTAACTAAAATTTCATCTATATCTAAATATTATGCATAGCGTTGTAAAATTATTCAAAGAGAAATTTTGTACGAAAACTTTATACATAAAAGTTGTGAAGTAAAATTAGTTGCGGTTTATTTTAGGTTTCGGTAGTATGATGACTAGACGTGGCTATAACTAAATGAGGCATATCCACTCATTCATTCTCTATCGAATATTCTGAGAAGTATTCTTCAAAAACAAGAACAGGACCTATTGCAGCTCAGACAACAGAACAGAGAGCTAAAGTGTCATACAGAATATGCAACATGATCACAACAGGGTAACTTCCCTATCGTCAATTACTTGGTTACTTACTATTGTAACATTTCTTTCTGTTAGCGCTTCTTGTGATGGATTGTTCCGCGGTCGATGTTTTCTTTCTTTGCACCTGTCAAACAAAATTACTTCCAATTAACATGATTGGGTTTTTAAGAAAAATATAGCTTATTCCTATTAAAGCAGACTACATTGTTCGCTAAATGGCAAACATGTTCTGAAGTTTCATTACTTTCACACTCAGAACATAATGTTTCAAAGAGACATTAATCAACTCTAGAGAACAAAATAATTGATTCTCTGAATTAGGTTCGCAGCACAGATTTACAGTCAAACCATTAATTAGTACACTTTAAATGATCTAATTGATTTGCGCATGTCTTCTTAGACAACTATTAGTAAACAATACAAATGGTCTCCGTGGAATTTTGTGATGACTCATACTTTCGTCGGAATGTGTCTGTTAATTTCGTATCAGTAACATATAGACGTCATCCAGACATCAAGCCACCATAAATAGAAACAGTTCAATTTGAACAGTGTCTTTTTAGTAATAACGTCCAAAGTCTACTAAAAGTATTCATATTTTAGTATAGGTTGATGTGCATGCGTCACTTTATACAAATATTCCCAAGATAAATCTGATACAAAAATATTCACAAAAGCATTCAAATTGTAACGTTATGTCGTGTACCTTTGTATGAATTGTATTTCTATAAAATATTCAAAGATCACCTAGCGATTTCTATGCGAAGCGAGTCTCCGCATATGTGTCGACGTAAGCAGTGTCGTCGGCGGGTCCTATGCCCGCCCTGACACGGACTCCAACGACCCCACGACGTGTATGAAGACCTCTTTAAATGTGAACCTAAAATTGAAAGCACAGTTCAGGAAAAGGTTTCTTGTTAAGCAAAAATATTTTAGATAAAGGCATGCATTTTTAAGGTACGTTCTGTTTCTTATGTATTATATTGGCGAGGCGTTGTGTATTAATCGGACTGATACGAAAAAATTTAGATAGGAAGTAGTGACAATAGTTATTATTATGTATAAACGTAACTAATCACACAAAAGAGGCTCCATAAGTGAAATATTTAAAAAAGAAAAACATGAATAACAACCTTTTTTATGTTTAACAATATAATCTAAACCATCACTGTCTTCGGTATAAATCATTTGGTCCTCATGGTGTGCTGTCACCTCGTTTTCAATCTGTAACATTCATAAGTTAGACACAATATATCAATATCGTAACAATACATAATAGTTGAGATTACAATCAGTTTACTACATGGATAACTAGGTCAATCGTTTTCAAAAGCCACAGTATCCCATACAATCGCTGCAATCAACCAAGACATATATTTCAATTTGGCGGTGAGCCAGATATTTTTTGTGATCGAAAATGCATTGTCATCTGCAATGGTCATGGATCTAGAACTTTTCAAATCTACTGCTTTCATGTGCAATAATGCAACATAATGTGCATTTACTACGTATTTGGTACAGCGGAAATTAATACTCTAGTTATACTTAGACATCTAGATATCTGCAAGTATTAATAGAATTTAGATTTTCCAACTAGACTTTACGAGGAACATTCAGAATCACTAGATATTGATAATTCTGACGAATACCAAGATTAAATGACCTTAAACGTGAGGTAATGTACAATTCCACGTAGGTACGAAACTATTTCTAAGAATTCACCAATAGTAGCTAGTGTTTCTCAGTTTAAGCAGGTTTCAAACAACTATTACTGTTTCATTATCTTTGTAATCTAGAAAATAGATGCTTTTACATCGATAAAATTATTATTGTGTTTGGTACTTAGTGTGCCCAGCTGAAACTGAGTTGGCAGGCCCTTTCGTCATGGGCATGTTGCCACCCTGTTGCTCTTTTTTATATTGTTTTTTGCTTTTATTGTTTTTAACTGTTGTTTTTAATGATATTTTTCATAGTTTTTTTAAGTTTATTTTTCATTGTAATTTTATGTTTGCATATTTAGTGGGTCATGTCTAATGACGAATAAATTATTTTTCTTTCTTTCATTCAGAAAATGGGTAGGACTAAGTAGGACTAGATATAAAAATATAAAATAATAAGTCTGTTGTTTATTTTTTCAAGTATACATTTTACTTACATGGTGTCCTGGAAAGGTCTCAAAGAGAATGAAGCTAAAAATGATGACAGGACATAGCCACTTCATATTCCTCAGTCCAGGCAGCTCGCAAACTCTCCATCAAAATTCGGCATCTAGTAACAAAACAATGAAAAAATATCAAAACATGAAATACAGCAAACAATTTTGAATATCCATTTGTAATCGGGGTAACGCTACTGATTGCAAAATAATGGCTTCTGTTTTCCTGTTGATAAAGTTCTGAAAATATACATTCATTTTAGGGACAAATCCGGAATACGTGCCCTTGTTGCTTTTGATAACTTGACTATCCAAAAAACCTCATGTTGAAATCTATTATATATTCAGGTATACCATAAGACACGTGCAAATATCTTCCCGAAACTCGAAACCTTCATGTATTTGGCACAGTCAAATTTACTACCTTTATTTCCTATTCCGCCCCAACTTATTATTGTGTCGTCAATTCGGATTCGATAGTGACAACTTGCAACACGGATTTATGGGAATTTTCGCGATTTCTTCTTGAATTTACTTCGCTGTGTGAATGTTTTTATCTATTTGGAGATTCAAATGAAGTTTGTATGAAGATAACCTAATTTTACTTAATGTTTCACTCATGTTTTTTAAAGCATTCTACTTTTATTGAGACTATAATAACCATTTTTGTATTTCCTCCACCGTCTTAACATAAACAGAAATTAACCTTATAAACCAACAGAACCTTACCTGCGACATTATCATAAAGGTTTTTATTTATTCTTCATAATATAAAGTTTATACCTTCATGCTTTTATAGCTAGCCCCTTTGCCTAATTACCCAAAAAATGGATGCCAATTAACTTAGGTCGTTAAAGTATTACTTTATTTTCCTACCGCAACAGTCGGTCATGTGTCTTGATTAAAGGTCCTATAGTTATCACAGACGGCTGCAAATCGAACTATATAAAACCAGTATAAACTGACCGTTCAATGTGTTGTAACATCATAGAAACCGAGACCAAGATAAACTGGTTTGTATAGCTCGATTTGCAGCCGTATGTACACGTAAAGCGATCATCAATAAACGTCCGCGGCAGGTCCACATTATTTTTTGTTGGATACAAAATCTTTTGCATCATGCATGGATATTTTTACTCTCGCTGTAGTTAAAAGTACATTTACACTTCAAAGAAATAGAACACGCTAATAAAAAGGGGTAACTATTAGTGGTTTATTTGAAGTTCTTACTGTCTTGTCTATTAAAAAGTTGTAAAAAGGTTCGTCCTTATCTATTTTGGAAGTAGTAATTTATGTGTGTTGGTGAATTGGGTAGAATGTTTAATCACGAGAAAAGTATTACTTAATTGAAAAATAAAAAACACATAATGTTATGATAGATGAGGAATAAATTCTTCTTGTGTCAGTTGCTCCTTCCTTTGCCACCCAACAAGACACCAAAATATTAAATCGGAAATTCTCTGACCAGTTTCTGCGAAGTTATTCTCTAAACTTGCAATCTCAATGCCAAAGGATAATATCCTTTAAAACGTTAAATACAAGTTCGTTGTTTCAACTTGACAAATTCAATTGCAAATTAATAGACCCGAAGAGGAAGACAGACGGTAAAACTTTATTAAAGGGAGTACTTTGAATGCTAACGAAACAAATAAACTTTAGGGGAAAATGCAGTGTTCACGGGGAAATTAATGATATAAAACAAAAGTTTTCATTTTAATATAGCAGATACAGTATAGCAGAATACTCTATACAGTTTAATATAGCAGATATACTCTATACTATTTATATAATATTATAAAGCTGAAGAGTTCGTTTTTTTTTATTGTTTGTTTGAACGCGCTAATATTCGAAACTACTGATTCGAATTGAATAATTCTTTTTGTGTTGGATAGTCCATTTATCGAGGAAGGCTGTAGGTTATATAACATCATGCTGCGACCAATAGGAGCGAAGAAACCGTGATAAATGTGTAAGAAACGAGGAAAATTATTCATCTTTGAGAGCTTCCGTTGCGTGCGCTGCGAGTTCAGTTCAAGATACACAAAATAAATGTATGAAAGAATCATTAAAGAGTGCTTGCGGGTGAGCCGGAGAGGGGTTTAGCTCTACGAGATACCATGCCGCGCGGCAATTTTATCAATACTTATAATAAATCTGTAGAGAGGCCAATTCTGTACATGAAATCATCATCAATCATCATCAACAGCCTATAAATGCCCACTGCTGAGCAAAGCCTCTTCTCACACGGAGAAGGTTAGAGCATTAATCACCACGCTTGCTCAATGCGGGTTGGCGATTTCAAACGTATAATTAGAAATTATAAGTCCAGGTTTCCTCACGATGTTTTTCCTTCACCGTTTGTCAGTGGTGTCTAAATAATCTTAGAAAGTACATATAACTCGGAAAAAGTCACATTGGTACTTGCCGTTGGTAGGTTTCGAACCCGCACCCTCATGCATGAGAAGTGGACTTATTAAACCTCCGGGCCACCACGACACGTACATGAAATATATTTCCAAAATAACTATCAGGGGGTGATTTGTGATCGATACTAATACCAAAAATGCAATCAGTAAAATTTTGTCTGTCTGTCTGTATGTTCCTTATAGAAATAAATACTCGACGGATTTTAACGAAACTTGGTACAATTATTCTTCATACTCCTGGGGAGGTTGTAATATACTTTTCATCACGCTACAATCAATAGGAGCAGAGCAGTGAAGGAAAGTGTTGAAAAAACGGGAGAAGTTACTCCATTTTTTAAGTTTCCGTCGCGTGTGCAAGCTTAATAGTTAACCTACAAAATAATAGTTAACCTACTATTAAAGCTACATAGAAATCATGTAGGCATCAGGCAGAATCCTGAGGACACGGTGGAACACACTGTTGCGGAATGCCCTGCGTGGGCTGAGCACCGCCGTGCCCTCAGGGAAGTGATCGGCGATGGAGACCTCTCGCGTCCGGGCCTAGTGCAGGCCATGATGCGGAGCGAGGGGACTGGGATGCCGTCTCCTCCTTTTGCGAAGCAGTCATGCTGGCTAAGGAGGAGGCGGGACGCGTGAGGCAGCGAAGCGCTGCCTCCTCGCAACCCAGCCATCGCGAAGGACACACCGGGCGTCGGGGATCGCGGGACGATCTCCGGCCACCGTAAGCGCGGGCCTGCGGACGGCGAGCATGGGTGGCTCCCCGTCCGACCAGAAACAGACCCGAGCGTACGGCGCGTCGCGTTGCGCGCGCACCTCAAAGAGCCATCAGACCACCACAGATGGGGCCCAATAGGGCCGATGCCGATTCGGAGTCGCGGAGAACCTAACGGGTAACCGGGGCTCCGGCTCGACGTGCAGGAGAAGGAACGGGGTGGTTTTTAGTCAGTAAGAGTCTGACACTCCCTTCCGCCTCACCCAGGCGGGAGCAGTCATTCGATGATTTTCCCCCCTTAAAGAAAAAAAAAAGGCATCAGGCAGAAGCTAGTAATATAATAGTTTTATTATTTATTGAACTAACGCTTACCTACGCTTTAATATACTATTAAAGCGTAGGTAAGCGTTGGTTTATTCTAACCGATTTAAAAAAGAAGGTTGGGTTCGATCCTTCTTTTTAAGTTCGAATCGATCCAAGTTATATTTTTTTGATGTAAAGAGTGTAACTGCAATAATATTTTATAAATAACTAGCTTTTACTCGCGGCTTCGCTCGCGTCACAAAAGGATAAAAAGTAGCCTATGTGACATATACCAATACATACAGCGCCATCTATACCAATACTTTTGTTTTCCCTCGGGGATATCAATTTTTTTCGGGATAAAAAGTACCCTATTATTTAATCCAGACTACTAACTTTACGTCTGCAAAAAATCAATGCAATCGGTTTAGTAGTTACGGCGTGAAGTCGGAACAAACAAACAAACTCACTTTCCGATTTATAATATAAGTAAGGAAGTAAGGATAAGGATTGGTTTTACACAAATTATGTAAAAAATTTCTTAATATGAATATTTAATTATTCTTTTCATACGGAAAATAAATTACTTAAATGACAAAATATTAATATCAACAAAGCGTCCAATAAAAAAAACTTTGAAATCGAATTTAAAAAGATGGTTGCAATTTCTTTTATTAGACTTCTAAATGGTCTGGTACCCAAATATTTATGGGAGATATAAAGATGGGAAAATTTTTTTCGTTGCTGGTATCATTTTTGGTCCGTGTAAACCGCGTGTAAGCCGCACTCACACATGCAAGAAATTTTACAACGTCATTTTTGTTGCTATTGTTGGACAACCTGCCTTATGTGTGCGTGTGTGTGTATTTGTTACTACATATTTCACTCAGGCCCGCCGTAAGAGCGCGTGCAAAGCGTGTACCTACAGTACACATAGTACAGCGCACGATCATGGGGGCGGCAAATCGAGCGACTAGTACTATTCACAATCATTGTCCAGAGTAAGCAGAAAGCATAAGAAATATCATCGCCGGGAAAAATCCCACTCGACGCAAGCAATATAGCGTTATGTATTACGTTTGGGGCCCTACACCAGTCAGTAGCGCCTTAAATTCGAAGTCTATCGAGAGTTCTTGAAAACTATTGAGCATCCACAATCACATTCGAGAGTCATTCGATAACTATCGAGCGTCCTCGATCGCTTTCGAGGGTCACTCGAAAACTATCGAGCGTCCTCGATCACTTTCGAGCGTCCTCGAAAACTATCGAGCGACCTCGAAAACTATCGAGCATCCTCGAAATCTATCGAGCGTCCTCGAAAACTATCGAGCTACCTCGAAAACTATCGAGCGTCCTCGAAAACTATCGAGCTACCTCGAAAACTATCGAGCGTCCTCGAAAACTATCGAGCGTCCTCGAAATCTATCGAGCGTCCTCGAGAACTATCGAGCGTCCTCGAAAACTATCGAGCATCCTCGAAATCTATCGAGCGTCCTCGAAAACTATCGAGCGTCCTCGAAATCTATCGAGCGTCCTCGAAAACTATCGAGCGTCCTCGATCACTTTCGAGCGTCCTCGAAAACTATCGAGCGTCCTCGAAATCTATCGAGCGTCCTCGAAATCTA